GTCAAACCGGACGGGGTCCAGCGGCACCTGGTCGGGGAGATCATCCGGCGGTTCGAGAGGAAGGGCCTGCAGCTGGTGGGGCTGAAGCTCCTGCAGGTGAGCGGCCCGGCCCGGCCGGTACCGCTGCTGCCAGGGCGGGGGGGTCCCTGGCGCCGAGGGGCCCAGGCGGGAGCAAGGCCCCTGCGGCCCCGGCTCTGCTGGTAACTCCCGGGGGGTTTCTGCCTGCCTGCCAGCTTGTACAGCCTGCTGTTGTCACTCGGGCACCAGATCCTCACGGGTCAGAGGGGTGTTGGCACCCAGGTGCCTAAACTGCTTCTGGAGGAGTGATTCCCGCTGTGGGGAGCATGCCTGCCCGGGGCATGCCGTCCGTGCTCCAGGGCTTTTGTACGTGGCTGTTGTAAGCTGGCTGTTGTTGGTCCTCTGACCTAGAAGCTTCTCCCTTCCCTGTGTCAGGCCTCGGCAAAGTAAAGCTGTTTCACTCCTGGAAGTGAGCGTCTGTGCAGGAGCTTAATTGTAACGCGCGCTGTCCAGCTTCAACGACATCTCTCTGGTGTAGACCTTGCCCAAACCCCCACGGGGTCAGAGCAGACTAAGCTTTGTGCTCTTTGTGCTCAGGCCTCGGAGGAGCTGCTGAAAGAGCACTACATCGCCCTTCGTGACCGTCCCTTCTACAGCCAGCTGGTGAAGTACATGAGCTCTGGGCCCGTGGTGGCCATGGTGAGTGCTGGCCAGGCTCTCCAGAACCAAGGAACAGAAAGTAAGGGCAATGTTTAAGCAGCGTGGGCTTGCGGTACGATGGAACCAAGGTGGCCTCTCTCTTCAGAGGGCCTCTTGAAGCTGTACTGAACTGCAGGGACATTTTCTGTGGTAAATTAAATCCACAGACAATTTTGATTATTTTCCAAAATCAACTTTTGAAGACTATTTACAGAGAGACCCTTTCCTGTCTCTCACCCAGGTGGATCAGATGGGGAATTTAGAGGACAGACGATAGGATCTGCTGGGGGCAGTTGTGCAAGCTGATTCTTGTTCTGCTGTCACGTAGGTCTGGCAGGGCCTGGATGTGGTCAAGACAGTTCGCACGATGATTGGGGAGACCAACCCAGCCGAATCCAGGCCTGGCACCATCCGAGGAGACTTCTGCATTGAAGTCAGCAAGTGAGAGCTTTGGCTTTTTGTTCCCTCAGTAGTTCAGGGCATCCTGTCCAGGCATTCCTGCGCAAGGCCTGCCCGAGCCACACGAGTCTGCATGCGCAGAGCAGTGCTTCTCCCTTCTGTGCTCGCATCAGAGCTGACTCCCTCTGACGGCTTGCAGAGCAGCCCTGGCAGGAGGTGCTGACCTCTGCCTCCTGGGGTTGGCTTTGCCAGAAGGAGGAGCCTGGGTTTGTGTCTTTAACCCCACACAGCGCTACAGGCTTGGGGAGGGGTGGCTGGAAAGCTGCCTGTCAGAAAAGGACCTGGGGGTGCTGGTCGACAGCCGGCTGAACGTGAGCCGGCAGTG